CTGGCCGGGCCCACCAGAGGCTTTCCCTGCACAAGTGGCAGAAGAAGTTTGGGAACCACTGTTCTATAGGAATATTTACCATACTGGATCAGACCAGAGGTTCATCTCCAGTATCCCGTCTCTGGCAGCAGCTAGCTCAAGCTGCTTCAGAGGAAGAAGTCCTGCAGTACTAGACGGTTATGGGATAACCTACTCTCAGGGAAAGTTCTCTCCCCACTAGTTGCAAGTTGGCTCATACCCCAACATGAGGGTCTATATTACTTCCAAAACGTTTTTTTTAAATTTACCATTGTTAATCTGAATGGCTTAGAGCAGAGGACTCATTTACTTGGCTCATGCCTGAATTTGAGAAAAATCCCATCCCACACAGAAGTGGGATAGTCACAGACCTATATCTGAATGCAAATTACTTATTACAATCCAATCTGACCCATTTTATCTTGTAGCTAGGTGTCACCAAGAAAGAATAATAGACCTTATGTGGCTCAGACCTTAGTATAAACAGAGCCATTAAGGAAACTAGGAGAACCATTAAAGAGGTGGGAGGAAATAGCAGCTGTGAAACCAAGACATGGGTAATTACTTTGGGTTAGAACAGAAGGGCTTTGTTATGAAACTTTCTTCAATACACAAACCCACAAGGCAAGGGGCAGGTTTGGAGGGAGATGGTTCTCATAAACACCTTACATGGAATTATTTACAAATTCTGGGGAACTAACCAAAGGAAGTATGAGAAAGGAGCAGAGCTATTTTTCTTGGCACTGAAGGCTTGTCTACACTACCAGCCGGATCAACAGGCAGCAATCGATCCAGCAGGGGTTGATTTATCGTGTCTACTATAGACGCGATAAATCGACCGCCAATCGCTCTAGCGTCGACTCCGGTACTCCAGCTCAATGAGAAGCGCAAGGGGAATCAACGGAAAAGCACCTCTGTCGACACACCGCAGTGAAGACACTACGGTAAGTACATTTAAGTATGTCAACTTCAGCTGTGTTCACGTAACTTAGATCGATCCCCCCCCCCCTCCCCCCGATAGCGTAGGCCAGCCATGAGTTTCAGAAGAGGATGAGCAGTTAAAATGTCTCTGAGGCCAGAGACATCACATTTAAGAAGACAGGGCAGGTTTCTATGACGCTGTTTCATAGGATTTGGTATGCCTTATCCCATATTTCCTTTTTTGTTAGTTAAGAGTGCTCTAGGCAAGTGGGTCTCAAAGCTGGTCTGCCGCATGTTCAGGGAAAGCCCCTGGCGGGCCAGACCGGTTTGTTTACCTGCCGTGTCCGCAGGTTCGGCCCCAGTGGCCGCGGTTTGCCGCTCCAGGCCAATGGGGGCTGCGGGAAGCGGCACGGGCCAAGGGACGTTCTGGCCGCCCTTCCCGAAGCCCCTATTGGCCTGGAGCGGCGAACCGCGGCCAATAGGAGCCGCGATGGGCCGAACCTGCGGATGTGGCAGGTAAACAAACCGGTCCGGTCTGGCCCGCCAAGGGCTTTCCCTGAACAAGCGGTGGACCGGCTTTGAGAACCACTGCTTTAGGCTATAAAACCTTTGTGCGGGAACAGAGGTGAAGACTGTTAAGACACCTAACTCCCAACAAAAGTCTATGGAAGTTAAGTGCCTAAACCTTTGAAAAGAAAAAAACCTACTTCCAACCTCCTTTTATTGTTTCCTCTGTTTTCGCCATTGTCCTGTTATGTATATTAGCCAGATAAAGACTAAAATAGGGTAAGCAAGCAGGAACAGTGGATAGTACAAGAGCGGTTACCCCTTTATAATGTGTAAAGAGGAGCATTTGCTGTGTTCCAGCATGGCCCCACAGGCTTACAGATTCATGGGATGAATATAGCCTTTTGAAACATAGCACTGTCCAAAGTGTTATTCAATAAAACTCTTATTTAATTACTCTAGCTGGGGTCAAAAGCAGCTTGCTCCAGCCTCCCTATGTAGTCCCATATCAGCAACTATCTCCTATTGCATGGAATCTTCTCCCTTCCTGTGAAGGCTAACTATTGTCTTTTCCAGACCAGCAGTACTCTGGAGGGAACATATCCACACCAGGAAATCTCTGGCTGTGATATGCAGAATGAGACAGCAGTATGCCTTGCTGCATAAGCCACCTGCCCAACCAGCAGAAAGGAAAATATCCTCCCATGTGCACCCCAAAAGCAGTAAGACCTTCAGCTCCATTTTCAGCCACAATAACTACCAGCTCCCAGAAGCTCTGAACCAGAAGGCACCTTTATCAACATGGAGGTGCAAACTTTCATCTACACATCCCTTCCACTCTGCAGGGCAGGCTAACAGCAGTGTTTTACAGAACAAGGGGTCCTGGTGCATGTCTACGGCTCTTAGACACTATGATAATACAAATAATAAGTAACAACATCAAAAGATCTTTACACCTGAACAGTTTACTTCAGTTTCCTGTTCTTCCCTATGTGCCCATCATCACTGGTCACAGTACCAATGATTAAAGGGCACAGTTCATATCCTGTTAATTCTCCATTAACATTTGTGAATGGTGGAGGAGTTATTCATTCAAAGAGTTACATCCATAATGGCAAAGCCCTTGGTATTTCCTGGCAAATCTGTGAAGAGCACAGCTACAAATTTAGGATGTAGTAATCTGTTAGAGCCACTGAATTTAACCCCCATAGAGACACTTCACTCTCTCTACACCTGGCAGAAGTAGTCTTGGAACATGAAGATTTTCTAGCCTTTGAAAACTAGTTGTCCTTTTTGACACAGTTTCAACAATTTTGACTTTGTATAGCTGTGCAATGAGTTCTCAGAGCTTATTTTCTATTTTCAGGCACTGATATCCTGCACAGGAAAATCTTTTCTTGTCAATATTCTTACTGTAGACAAGGCCACAAACATTGTCAGCCTTGCACTCCTCCAGACTTCTTTCTAGTTGCACAAGACCCTTCCAGACTAACTACTTGCATAGTGTTGATGCTTGGCTCCAGGACGCAGTGTTGCTGTCATATCCTAGACTGAATTCAAGTTCTCTCCTCTCTCCTTTAAGCCCTTCCTTCCAACATCTCACTCTCCACCTCCTCTCTCAAGCTCCCTGTGGCTTATCTCCTATGTGATTATACAGTTGTCTTGTTATATAAACTTACTATCCTTGGTAGTTTAGAATTAAGACACCTGTTATACAATGTCTAAACTGCAAACGATCCTACATTTCACTCTTAAAGGAATCAGTTTTAAATCAGTAAATGTCAATAATCCTTTGACTTTTCCCCTGCACTTGAAACCCACTGCAAAGAGGAAAGATGAAATGCTGCACTTGAGGACAACCAATGAAATGTTCTTGTTGTCCTTTCTATCTGGCAACTAGTTCCTAAAGTTATGAAAAATGATCATGTTATAACTGTTATAAATCTCAGTTTACTCTGAATAAATATTATCCAAGATTTATGTTCTTTATTTCCTGCTAATGCAAATATTCAACATGTGGTTCTCCTCTGAAAAGCAACTGTGTAAAAAATGACACCTTCCTACCCAACTGATTGCTCCTGGTTTGTATTCAGTCATATTTATACCTTCAATTATAACACTGAACTTGAGATAGCAAGGATGATTTTGCAGGGAAGGCAGTTACAGGTGGGGGAGAAATCCTTGTACTTGTAAACTTAGCACAGCTGATATATAGAGAGAGAATAAACATGAAACCAACATTTTTCCAAGCAGAACCTGTGTATCGATGGAAACAAAATACTAGGAATTATAAACCTCTATATTAACCACTGAAACTCAGAAAAATAAAAATCAAGTCCTTATGTCCTGGCCTTGATTCTGCACTGACTTAGGCCCTATGTGACTGTCATACAGGGGATAAGTCAGCACAAAATTTGACCCCATAATTGCCAATTATACTTACACATGAATAATTTCACTATTTCCTTAGCAAAACGAGAGCTGACGTGCCAAGATGTGAAAGTTAATAGCAAGCAAGCTGTCCCATAGACTCAGGCTGTAAATAAAGCACAAGCTACAACTAGTGTCATATTCAGCTCAACAGCAGAAACAATGAGCATCTTATATGAGCCCATGTTGGATCATAATCAAAGTGTTAATAACTTTGCAGCCAAAACAATCAAGAGTCAAATGGGCTTCATTTGGTAAATAGTGTATTTCCCTGGCTCCGTCTGAGTTAGGAGACGGAAATGCATTCTTGCATAGGCTGCTGACAGCGGGGATAGGGCTGTCTCCCTCCCCCCGGAGCTGCCTGTTGCTTGCAACAATAACCTTCCCCACCCCCACGATTCAGCTGATATGCACATTACCTGTGGAAGGATACTCCCTCCCTCCCATCACACCACCGAGACTGGGAGGGATAGATACCCCTTTAAACTGACTGTTACTATGAGTGGGAAGCACCCCCAAGCAGTCAGACTTTTATGGGAAAGAGATGTGAATCATCTGATTCTAAATAAAGGAAGGGCCAATGCCACTTGAAAATTTGTAGCTCTTTGGGGAGAGCTCCCAAGTCCCTTCCCCTCCCCAACCCTGTGGGGTGGAGAGAGATACCCAGGCTTTTCAGGGGAATTGGGGCTGGGATCCCTTGGCCCTTTTAATGAATTGGGGGGTGGGATCCCGTGAACCTTTCCTGACCCTTTAGGGAATGAGTGGATCCACCAACACCTTAGAGGAATTGGGGGTGGGGCGCCCTGGCCCTTTAAGGGAATTGGGGCTGGGAGCCATGCCGCCTCTGAGGGTGCCTATGTGCTGTACTACCCCTGCCTGTCCCCCCTCGGGTGGGATCCAGTCACTTGCTCCCCGGAACCACTGGGGACACCCCTCCTCGGCCGGTGCGGGTCCCAGCCGCTCCCCATGGAGGTGATGACCCCCAAACCTCTTGCCCTTTGACGGGGGGATACCAGCCTCTTCCCCTGTCCAGCGGGGTGGAGCTGTGGGGGGATCCCCAGCAGCCCCTCGGCTCCAAGGGGCCCCCATGGCTGGGGCAGGGCGGGGGCCGAGCCCGCAATTACCTCGCTGCTCCGCACTGGGCCCAGGCCGGCTGCTACCCATGGCCGAGGCGGGCGGCGGGCTGCTCCTGCGGGGGGCTGCGCGGCTCCTGCCGGCCGGAACGGACCCGGACTCTCAGCTCCTGCCCGGCTCCTGTTTACACAGGAAAGCCCAGCTGTCTGTCAGCGCGCCGCCCTGCCCCCGCCGCCATGGCCGGGGGCGGGGCGGGGCCGGCGGGGCCTGCAGGGGCCGCGGCGCCGGGAGCTTGGAGCGCGGCAGGCCGAGCCTCGGGGCGGGGACGCGGCGCCCTCAGGCCCCTGGCACTCTGGTTGGTGATAGGAGCCCGGTGCTTGGGTGCCCGTGAACCCCTGCAATCTGTCTTGCCCCCTGTGAAAGTCGCGGTGCCCCTAGGCTGCTGCACGCCATGGGAGGGTCCACGCCTCCCCCCAAGGCCCCCTCATAACCCTGGCAGGGGATGTGGAGCCCCAAGGCTGCTCGCCTCTGTGAGGAGGCTGGTGTGCTGGGCTGAAGTATGCCCACTGTGCCCCGAGCACCCCCACCCCTGCATGCCACTCGAGGGCTGTGGGTGGAGGCTGCAGCATGCACCTGCGGTGGAAGACCTGGTACCTTGAGGCCACCGTGCACCCCAGGGGCAGAGATCTTGCACACTGATGCCAGCGTGCGAGTATCATATTCCCAGGCCACCATGGCCAATCGAGGGGGAAGCTATTGCAACCTGAGGCCACCATGCCCTTGGCAAGTGGGGACATTTGTGCACTTGGACCACCCCGGGGGCATGTCACACCCTTGAGCAGCAAGTGACTGGCAGAGAACAGCTCTGCAGTCGTCATCACCACATAAAGTTGCATCACCATCTAATCTCAGACATTCAGTTTACCTGGGAAGAAGGTTTTCTCACCATTTTACAGGTAAGGAAGCTGATGCACAGCGAGAGAAAGAAAGACTTATCTATGATGGCACAGTGAGTCAGGTGCAAAGCCAATAAGAGAACCCAGGTATACTGACCCTGGTCTCACGCCTGCTTCTGTATTCATGTAGCCTCACCATCTTCCCTGAACCATTCTCCCTAGGGTGACCAGATGTCCTGATTTTATAGGGACAGTCCCAATATTCAGGGCTTTGTATTATATAGGCTCCTATTATCCCCCCAACCCCCATCCCGATTTTTCACACTGGCTATCTGGTCACCATATCCCCCCCCTTCCCCGCCCGCCCGCCTCAAAAAAAGGCTCTTAATTCAAGATATGAGTCAGGCCTATATAAATCACATCACCCACTCCCGTAGCTCTCGCTGTTCTAATGCAAGCATAAAAACAATTACACATAACCTTTTTGCAACACCTGAAAGATGTATAACTATATTGAATAGGGTTGTGACTTTTTTACTGGTATAACCCCTAGCGTGGATGTAGTTATGCTAGTATAAAAGTGCTTTATACTGTAAGGTGTGTCTACACTACCCACTTGAAAGCACAGCCACGGCCGTGCTGTGACATGGGCAGTGTAAACATGCTTTATCGCCAGGGGAGAGCTCTCCCGGTGATAAAAAAAAAAAAACCCTCTGAATGAGAATTCCTGGCGATAAAGCGCTGTCTATACTGGCACTTTTCAGCGCTAAAACTTTTGTCGCTCAGGAGGGTATTTTTTCACACCCTGAACAACAGAAGTTTTAGCGCTGAAAGTGGCAGTGTAGACACAGTTATTCCCTTCTTATACAGGAATAGTTATACTGATATAAAGCATGTTTAGACTGATAAAACTGCATCCACACTAGAAGCTGGAGTTTAGCAGTTTAACTATACTAGTATAGTTACAGTGATACAATTTTCTAGTGTAGACAAGGTGTAAAAGAGTTAGGCATCCAACTCCCCAGATGGAAACGTAGTAAAGAATATAGCCAATATTCTTGTGTCATCATTTGCTCTTTTGTGATAGGTTAACTATTTATATCATATAACTGTAGGCTTGAATTTTGTAAATGCATAAAAGTAATCAAAGAGGTTGCAGGATGAAAGGCTATGGAGATAATGGGCAATAAATAAAGCCAAAGGAAGAAAGATAGAGAGGGGTCATGTAAGAGGAAGAAAAGGTGGAAATATGTATTCAAGAAAATAATCTTATGAAAGATCCTTGGTGCAATAAAATTGCACCATAATGTTATTTGTGGCTGCTGCTAGACCTGTCGTAATTTCTAGTTTTCATTCCATAAATGGTAAAATACTTGTTCCAGAGGGCCAGAGCTGTTCACACAGGTTTTCTGAGATATGTTTGGAATACGTGAGTCTTTGTTCACCTGCACATCCACCAATGTGATATATGCCATCATGTGCCAGCAATGCCCCTCTGCCATGTACATTGGTCAAACTGGACAGTCTCTACGTAAAAGAATAAATGGACACAAATCAGATGTCAAGAATTATAACATTCATAAACCAGTCGGAGAACACTTCAATCTCTCTGGTCACGCAATCACAGACATGAAGGTCGCTATCTTAAAACAAAAAAACTTCAAATCCAGACTCCAGCGAGAAACTGCTGAATTGGAATTCATTTGCAAATTGGATACTATTAATTTAGGCTTAAATAGAGACTGGGAGTGGCTAAGTCATTATGCAAGGTAGCCTGTTTCCTCTTGTTTTTCCTACCCCCCCCCCCCCCCCCAGATGTTCTGGTTTAACTTGGATTTAAACTTGGAGAGTGGTCAGTTTAGATGAGCTATTACCAGCAGGAGAGTGAGTTTGTGTGTGTATGGGGGTGGGGCGGATGTGAGAAAACCTGGATCTATGCAGGAAATAGCCCGACTTGATTATGTAAAGAGTTGTCACTTTGGATGGGCTAGCACCAGCAGGAGAGTGAATTTGTGTGGGGGGGTGGAGGGTGAGAAAACCTGGCTTTGTGCTGGAAATGGCCCACCTGTTGATCACTTTAGATAAGCTATTACCAGCAGGACAGTGGGGTGGGAGGAGGTATTGTTTCATATTCTCTGTGTGTATATAAAGTCTGCTGCAGTTTCCACGGTATACATCTGATGAAGTGAGCTGTAGCTCACGAAAGCTCATGCTCAAATAAATTGGTTATTCTCTAAGGTGCCACAAGTACTCCTTTTCTTTTTGCGAATACAGACTAACACGGCTGTTCCTCTGAAACCTGTCATTTGTAAAATAAGGCTGAAGTGAGAATAACGGGAAATTAAAATGATGTAAGGAGGGAGGGAGAGAGAGTTCATTCCTCTGCCCAGCAATGAGAAATTTTATCGCAAGACTTGAGAATAAGTGAAAAAGAACCTGAAGAAAGATGACAACCTTTAAAGCAGACTTAGCAAAACAAAAAGAGGGGGGACCTCTGATACAATGTGAGAGTTCTCTGAGCGTGGTCCAAGTTTTCTGTAATCTGTATCGTGAGTCTGCATTTTTGATGTCAGTAATCTACAGGAATACAAAGCAATTACACGCGCCCAATGCAGGATGGAGGGAAATGATGCTAAAATGAATGACAACGTTAGTGAGGCACACCTCCCAGAGGTATGCCTGCCAAAAGGTATCTGTTTCCTGGTGTGGAGTGTGATAACCCCTTTATGCTAGCAACACTTCACAATAGATTTTTAGAAAAGAAACCGAAGAATAACTTCTCCAGCTGAACTTCAGGCGGAGGGCAAGTTGGAATTCCAGTTAGAATGTGGCCAGGATAACAGAATTAACAATGTTCCTAACTTTTGTGAAAAGCACTGGGTATCTTTAATGACCACAAGGGGTCAAGAGCTTGGTTTTGAAAAATGACACTGCTAGCATCACAGGGCTGCTTATCTCCAGGGTGGGGCACTGCTTCCGTACTGATACAGAAGGGAAGGTGCCACCTGCTGGATTCAGCAGCACTATTTCCTGCAGCTCCCTATGTTTCTATGGAGATGTGTTGGACTCCTCATTCAGTTATTAACTAGGCTCAGCCCTGCTTGGGTTGTAGTCAAAGTATTTTCCACGACTGGATATAGTATATAGATTATAATAATCATGTGTTATTTGGAGGCAGTGTGATATCATTGGGCTTCTGCTTTTCAAGTTTCATTTATTTCGTTTATTTCATATTTTTAGCAACTTTTGAGTTTATACAGATGTCAAATCTCTATATTATACATTACTCGCTACAGCAGGGAAAATTACAATGAGATTACTCATTATGGCAGTATATAATATATGCAACACTGCATAGTAGTATATAATGTAATGAAAAGCAGTACTAGTGGCACCTTAGAGACTAACCAATTTATTTGAGCATAAGCTTTCGTGAGCTACAGCTCACTGCATCGGCTGCATCCACTGTAGCTCACAAAAGCTTATGCTCAAATAAATTGGTTAGTCTCTAAGGTGCCACTAGTACTCCTTTTTTTTTTTTTTTTTTGCGAATACAGACTAACACGGCTGCTACTCTGAAACCTGTCATAATGCAATGAGTAATCCCTTTGTAATTTTCCCAAGTGTGCTTTAATATAGTACTGTTTCAAACAGCACTATGTTAAAGAGCATTAGGGAACTTTTAGTGCAAGCCAGCAGGGTCTGTGTGGACCAATTCACGTGCAACACATCAGTGCACTTTAGAAATCACACCCCTGTAGTAAATCACACCCCTGCTCCATGTAGATAAATCAAGCCCTTAGATATAAGCAACATTTATGTAAATATACATTTCTTTCTTTCTCTCTCTCTCTTTTTTTTAATTGGGGGTGTTTCATCAGTTAAAACTGAAAATCAGAAGCCCTAAAGGTATAATGGATAGGTACTAGATTTAGAGGAGACCTAGGTTCTATTCCCAGCATGACCACTGACTTGCTGTGTGACTTTGGGAAGTTTCTGTACCTCTGTTTCCCCTCCTATTCTTTGGTTTCTAGATTGTAAGCAATCTGCAACAGGGGCAATTTCTCACTACAGCTATGTACTGTGCTTAGCACAATAGGCCCTGTAAGTGGTTGTCACATCACCCCATATTGTCAGAGCTTTGCATTGCAGGGGTTTGCACGTCTGTCTTTGTGCATGATTCAACCCTCCCAGTGAGAAGCATCTATTTCAGAACCCTTTCATCATAACAATAGTTCATTGTTATGTCCAAAGCATCTCAACAAATCAGCCCTTCCTCTGGACTTGTGTTCATTTCCCACCTTTCTCAGCTACCCTGGAGTCTTCTGCCCATCTCTG